AGATAAATGAAGAGAAAACTCGTTTGATTCTTGATCCACCGTGCTCTGTAGCCTTTTTCTTCAACAAAATAGTGCCCAACCCTTTCTCAACTCGTTTGGGGAGAATTTATATGTAAGGGCCGAAATCCCTCAGTCCAAATCCGGATCGGAGTCTTTTAACCCACAACTTTTAATCACCGGGCTATAGACCTCGCGAGGCCAGGCTTATATATCGGTCATCCTGGCTACAGAGCTGGCTACGCCTGGCCTGCAGCGCGGTCAAGATGGCTATACTTGGTCTGTAGCACGGTAAAGCAGGCTATAGAGCTGGCTATGCCTGGCATGCAACACGGCTTGGGTACTTGGTGATTTTGTGCTCTTTTCTTGCATTTTCATCCTCTTTTTGTGCAACTTTCATTTGACTATTTATTCTGATACTCATACACATAAAACAACACAATTTAGCTCAAATGTCGCACAATTAATCACTAAACTAACAAAATATAGGGCAAATAATGTACTAAAAGTATATCATTTTGGCCGAACATCAGATAACAACATATTTTCTCAACTAATATGGGATACTCTGACTAACCCTATGTTCTGACTAGACATTTGGAGCGTGTACAATATAATATGGGCCTAGACATTTGGTAAATCAAGATTAAAGATCAGTCTAACTCAAATACTATATTATGAAAATGAACTTTAATCTAACTCCGCTATTCTTAACAACTTAGACTCTGATTCAGCCAGGCTAGTTATTCATCAATCCATTTGATGTCAAATTTTGGGGGTTAATTTCTTGAATTGACACTCAATTTTTACTTTATTACACCAAAATTACTTAACTCTTTTATTTTTATAATGGAAAAAATTACTAAACTATTCTTTCAACAAAATATTCACTCAACTTTGAGTATCACATTTGTAAAATATCTAAGATTAAGTCTAACCTTTTCTTATTTCTATGTACCATGTATGCATAGGCTACAAAGCTATACAAGGGAATAAAATTTATGCACCTGACAGATTTAAGCAATGTAGCATATGAAAGATTTTAGTACTTTGTTTTTTTTAGTATTTCAATGTACTAAGAAAAAATAGGTTACAAAACTACATAGACCCTATAGAAGCATATATATGAAGTTTTTGCAAAAAAATAAAATAAAAAAAATAAATCATATTTTCACATAATCTTATTGTTCTTGTTATCCTACAACTAAAAACACCTGAACATTTATTAAGTGTTTGGTACTAATTTCACATTTACAAAATTAACTTCCAAGGAGTTTATATTTCACAATATATGATATTGTGAGCACTCAACGAACCTTTTATTTTAATTGTTGCCTAGATTTAATCCAAAAAAGTAAAGCTCCAAATCCACATTTTGAGTATTTATTTAATTTGGTAGAAAGAAGGGGAGCCTTGGCGTAACTGGTAAAGTCGCTGCCATGTGATCAAGTGGTCACGGGTTCCGGCTGTAAATAGCCTCTTACAGAAATGCAAGGTATGGCTGCGTATAATAGACCTTTGCGGTCCGGCCCTTCTCCAGACCCCGTGCATAGCGAGAGCTTAGTGTACCGGGCTGCCTATTTCATTTGGTAGAAAAACTCAATAATTTTCAAGTTTCTCATTTCATACCCTGGTGTAATGAACAATACATTTTCTTGTGTGCCCTCATTTATTTTTCTGAGCCGATGGTCTATCGAAAACATGCTCTGTACCTTCACAAAGATAGAAATAAGTTGTTGTTGTCGTGGTCGAATATAGATCAAATCTTTTGCTAGAAAACTAATATAACAATGTTGATTGTTTCAACAAAAAGAAGATACATAATTGATTTGAGGACGCAGAAGCTTCTTATATAACTCCAGCAACAATATTGGACGGCATACCATGCCAATATTTTAGTTTTGCAATTTTGAACTATTGATCATTCGATAAATTGGTCTTTTGCCAAGTAGAATATGATATGGAAAACATCAAATTGTTTGCCAACTATGTGAAATTCAGCTTAGTGGAATATTTTAGGGATCTTTACACAAATAGACAGCCAATATTAATTGTTATATATATATATTATGCGTATATTATATACTCACCGGCTATGTTTAGTTTAAGTGGTAGGGTGAGCGGCAATTTAAGTTAATTCTTCAATATTTAATTCTTTTAGATCATATTTACGTGTGTCCTTACCATTATTATGTTCCTTATATATATATATATATATATATATATATATATATATAACAATATATACATACATACTTTCCAAGATAGAGGTTTCATGTGACTTACTTCCTATGTACTTTGCATTGAACATAAAATTTTATGTGCCAAATTATTGTAGATCTTTTAACTACGCCAATGTGGACTTGCTCATATTGCTGGTCGCAAGCCCGGTTCCCAACTTTGTTTGCAATTGAGGCGCAATTGTTGTTGTTGTAATTACAGTTGATCCTTTAGCATGAGCTTCTTCTAATAGAGACAGGGAATGAAGATGATGGACTTCTAGATCAAACTGACAATGACTTATTTGACACATATACCCGAAATATGTTTTCTCTCGATTTTGATACATTACTTTTCTTGATTTTTTCAGACCTCATTTATGGGAATACACTGGGCTTGTTATTGTTGTTGTTGTTGTTCTTGTTGTACTTTTCTTGATTCTGCCTGTGATGTTTGTGTAGGGTGTAGGCGTATTCTAAAGAGTAATGCGGATGTTTGGTACAAGTTCTCTATTTGAGTTTATGTTGCTTGTACTCTTTGAAAATATCGTCAGATATGTGTCGGATCTTCTAAAAATTAGTACATTTTTAGAAGATCCAGTACGGGTGCAACAATATTTTGGAAGATCCCGCAACGTAAATTTGTGTTGGGACTTGAAATGGGTATCCTTCTCACACTTCTGTTTCTTGCTTCCAGTATCATTTGTCTGCCCTTTTGTTTTATATATTGATAAAGCACCTATAAATCATTTGATGTTCTTTAGTTGGCTGGATTTTACACAGTTTGAAGCGCCTACTAGAATTCATGACATTTAACATCTCAATGCATTGTTGGACTTCTTATTTTCTTTTAAACTATGTTTTACGTATTAATTTGTTGATTATTATAGATGTAAATATGTGGAAGTTGGCGGCTACATTTTTGGAACAACACTCGAATGTTAACAATGTATATTTAACATTTTTGTTGATTTAGCATGACGAATTTGGTTAATTCTGCAAACTGCACAGTTTTATTCCATTCTATCTTTTCTTTGTTTGAATGAATACATTTGTGAAATCGATAGATGCAAAAAAAAATGTTAAGAACACACTGACAATGGAAAAAAGGAAGAACAAAAATAGCATAAACTACAATGTATANTTTTTGGTGGGTATATATATAATTGCTCTTCTTGTATCTCTTAAAGAGTTAAGAAGAAAGCAAGACGACCCTCCATGGAGGATGGAGGGTCGTTCATCTTCAAAGCTGGCTGCTATATATATGTGCTTCTTCTGTTGAAGAAAGACACCACACAAAAACGAAACACAAACACCAAATTGAAAATGCTCAACTTTGGCTATACATTGCACTCCTTCCTCTCAGCATTTCCATACGATTTTTTGAGTAACCTTGGGTACTAGGAGGGGATTAAATTCCTTAAGGAAACACTGTGAATTCAGTGGGCTCGAATTAATTACTGTTTCATTACGATAACTTATATTTTACAGAATTATTATTTACAAATACAACAATATTAGCGGGACTAACAATTTTTGTATATTTGACTAGCACATATAATTATTTTTGGCTGACCAACTATATCTGTAACTTACCCAGAAAAATAAATCAGCTAGGATTTTGGGCTGATGCTCAGCACGAGCTGCTCATCTAGTAAAGTTACTAGGTGGAAACAAAGTAGATACTTGATATGATACTTATGCAAAGTTGAATGATTTTTTGGTAACAAAAAAATATTAAGTAACTTTTTATGATACTTAGATAAAATTGAACAACTTTTTCTTTACAAAAATAGTCCAATAACTTTAATATAATAAAGTAAAAATTAGAGTTCCATAAAATTACCTCTGTTTGTTATTGACTCCACGTGCTTTACATATAGACAAAAAAGTTGCTACTAAGGGCGTAATATTAATTCAGTACAAAAAAGAAAAATCACTACATTTGTTGTGCTATTGGTATTGTTGTTATGGCAATGTTGTGGAATATGGCCACGTATGGTGCTGAGTTGTTATGTGGTATTGTTGTGTTTTGGCACATGTGAGATTGTTGAGAGTATTGTCGGGGTATTTGCACGTGAGTTGTCCGTGCTACTGTTATTATTGATATTTGCACAGGCAGCGAGAGAAGGCGGGCTATATGTGTTGGGTTTGCGCATACGGCAAGACAAGGGGGATAATTATTGATGCGTGTGTGGCGAGACAAGGCGGACATTTACTTTACTATTGTGCACGCGGCGAGACAAGGAGGGCTATGTCGGGGAAGATTTGTGATGGTCCTGGGGCATTGTTATTGATGATATCCTTGAGTTTAAAACTAAAAATTTCTTCTTTCTTTAGAACTGCATTTGAAGTTACACCAGAAATGTAGCTTGTTTTCCCATAAAATAAAGCAGTTAGAGTGCCACATAACAATCAACACAATCAAGACATTGGAACAAGCAGATAGGAAAAAGTTGAAGATAGTGGAAATTGAGAAAGAAGAACATGATAACCAACACAAGGCACGAAGGAAGCAAAACGAGGGACCATATGTACATAGACTATAAAAAAGGACAGTTCGGTGCATAAAGCATCCCACATTCACGCAGTGCCGGGGAAAGGGCCGCACCCCAAGGAGATGTGAAGTAGCCAGTCTACCCTGACGCAAGCATCAGGGGCTGATTTCACGGCTCCAACCTGGAACCTATATATAGGCTATTTGGATAATTTGATCAGTTTTCCATTGATTTGAGCCTCAGAAATATGAGATATCCTACCTTAGCATTCTGAACTCAAGATCAATCAGTTATCGATCCTAAGTACCTTCAGCTTCGTGAGGCAACTCATCCCCTCGGGCAATGAAGATACTTTATGGCACTTGGAAATTTCAAGTTTTTCAAGTGCGATGAGATTTTCCAGCCACTTTGGCAATGCTGAAAAGTTGGGGCATCGTTCGACCCTCAGGTATTGTAGAGTAGCACTGGAGCCTTCAAGCCATCGGGGCAAGCTAACTAATTGTGGTAATCCAGCGAGCACCAACATCTTAAGGTTCCCGAGGCATTGAACATCTTTTGACTCCAATCCGGGTAAGCCTCCAATAACCAGTGACCGGATCATCTTAAGTCCTTCGATATCTTGCCACTCCAACAATGTAAGCTCTTTACAGTCAACGATCAACAGATTCTCCAAAGCAGTAAGGTATTTCATAGCACTTGGGAAAAAGGTCAGTCTTGGGCAACCGATAATTGCCAATGTGCGAAGGCTAGTAAGATACTGCAGGCCTTCAGACAAAGATATAAGATTCGTGCAGCTATGAATATACAAAGAACGAAGAGATGATAAGCAGCCAATTGCTTTATCAGGAAAACTTGATTGCTTGGTGGTTATATGCAAGTGTCTTAAGCTGATCAAATTTCCTATATCTTTAGGTAGCTCTTCAAGTTGTGGACAATGAGAAACTCGAAGTGTTTGTAAGCTCAGCAGCTTGTTAATCGAATCAGGTAATTCTTTAATGCTGCCATTGGAGCTTATGTCAAGATATCTTAAGTACTTCAATTCTCCAACAGAGCGAGGCAGCTCATCAAAACATGAATCACTTATATCTAGCACCCTAAGTTGCATGAATCTTGCTATGCAGTTTTCAACAAACATTGTACTCATCGGACCTACTCCATCAACAGAGAAGGATATGGTCCTCAATGTCTGGTTATTGAGAAGGGATGCTGGCAGTTCCTTGCCTGACAAATCATAGTCAGAAAATGCCACATGTCTGACCTCATCAGAAATGTTGTGTGTGTGAGAATTTACAGTACAGAATTCAACCCCTGCTGCTGACAGTGCAAGATCATGTACAAAGTCATGCAATTTACAGAGTGAGGTAATAACAGAACGATATTCTTCAACTTCTTGAAAAAAGGATCTCGACAATAACTCTTGGAAATATTGAATCCCAATGTGTTCAAGATCTTCGGATCCATTAGGCTGATTCACGAGACCTTCTGCTACCCACAATTGTATCAATTTATCTATTTCAATCACACAGTCCTTGGGTAATATTGAGCAGTAAGCAAGACAAACTTTGAGATTAGATGGCAATCGCTCATAGCTTACGATTAGTGCAGGTGAAATATTGTCATTCTGATTTGAGTTCCACATCTCATGATTTTTAACTTCATGCCACTCCCATTCCTTAGTTTCCATGTGTAATGAAGATCCTAAAAGCATTAAGAGTAAGGGATTTCCCTCACACTTCTGCACTATATCTGATGCAATCCCAACAAGATTTGGATATAGTACTTCTTGACCTTCTTCAAAGGCCTTACTCGAGAACAAAGTCAGACAATCTTCACTTGATAAACCCTTCAAACAGTATGCAGGAACCGTCCCCATTATCGAAGCTACTGCCTCATTCCGCGTAGTTACAAGAATCTTGCTTCCACAAGCACCCACCATCAACAACTTATTCAATTCATCCCACTTCACTGGATCCTCATTCCACACATCATCTAGAACAATCATATACTTCTTTTCATACAAAGTCTCACGAACGAGAGTCTGCAGTTCATTCATATCATCATTCTCACACAAATCTTCTCTAACTGAATTCACAATTTGTTCCAATAATTTCTCTACCTGAAACACACGAGACACTCGAACCCACACACGCAGCTGAAAATGACTAACTATCCTTGGATCATTATACACCAGTTTCGCAAGAGTAGTTTTCCCAATACCTCCAAATCCCACAACAGGAAATACAAAAAGGGCTGCTTCATCTCCTGATTTTAAAAGTGTTTCAACGACAATATCTCTATCAAAGTCCCTCCCCACAACACCAGAGTCATGCACATGCGCACGTGTATGCGTAAGCCCCCTTGCTCTGTGAGGACTAGGAAAGCCACCACATGCCATTCTCTTAAAAAACACTCGGTTCCTACCTATCTTATCCAACATCTTAATGAGCTTTCGCATTACAAGACACAATCGAATCCTATAGGCAAAAGGGTTTGATCTAGAGAAGTAAAAAGCACACACCTTTGCTGATGTCGAATTGGAAAGCAACTGGTTTTGCAAAGAGCAAATTTCATACTCTTCAATCACTTGTTCAGCTTCGTAAAAAGCAGGCTTTAGCATCTCAGCTACCTGATGATCAAAGTGATCATCAGATTCTGTGACTCTAACAAAGAGCTCTAGTTTTTTGAGTTGGGAATGCATTTTCAAAGACCTTGCGATGTCAACAACAGCGTACAATTTCACTAGAAGCATATCAACTAGTACCTTCATATCCATGGTGATGGAATGGAAAGTTGCAGATTCTTGAAGATTATACATAGATAAAGATTGGTTCTTGGTTTACCACTATCTTTTAGCAGAGAAAGTAAAGGAAGTACAAACTAATTAATAAGTGCAAAGATTGGTACTTTATTGGACTATAGGATATCCTTGTGAGAACTGAAGAGCGTTTGCTTCTTGTTGACTTCTAGGGAATGAAATTAAGTCATAATCAACAAACTAGGAAGTTTCTTCGCATCAACAAGTTTGGGGAAAAAGAAAAAGAGGACAAACTTTTTAGTGTTGACTTGACTTTGAACTAACTAATATGTCACTGTAGCAACATTTTTATATTGCTAATTGGCAATGTTTATTACAATGGCAGAAGTGGTGCAAACTTGACATGCTTGCCAGTTGTTTTAGAGGCCCTTCGCTCTCAGAGGACATTTCACAAACAGGTGGGGAGCTTCACCTTCACCGCGCTGAAATCTTGCGGCCAATGTAAAAAATGGCAGTTCAAACCAAATTTGACTTGGTATTTCCTTTTTGGGTATAGAAGGAAAATATATAAATTACACTTTAAAATTGTTTTGAAAAATCAGTTATATGCTCTTGTTGAGGTTTTATTTTAAGATGTAATATTCTTAAAATGAGGGTGAATGGGAAACAGAGGGAAAATGAAATTTTGAGTAAAATTTTAAGTTTCCCCCTCTTAACAATGAGACATTGTCCCATATTGGAAGTGGAAGACATTTTTGGTGGGTATATATATAATTGCTCTTCTTGTAGCTCTTAAAGAGTTAAGAACAAAGCAAGCCTCGCGCCGTCGTCGTCGTCGCTCGGCTACGGCTACGGCTACGGCTACGGCTACGGCTACGGCTACGGCTACGGCTACGGCTACGGCTACGGCTACGGCTACGGCTACGGCTACGGCTACGGCTACGGCTACGGCTACGGCTACGGCTACGGCTACGGCTACGGCTACGGCTACGGCTACGGCTACGGCTACGGCTACGGCTACGGCTACGGCTACGGCTACGGCTACGGCTACGGCTACGGCTACGGCTACGGCTACGGCTACGGCTACGGCTACGGCTACGGCTACGGCTTCGGCTTCGGCTTCGGATTTGGATTTGGATTTGGATTTGGTCAAATGATCGATTGATTGATTAATTTTTTGGACCAAATTTATTTGTTAATAGTAAATATTAACGTAAGATTATCCGTATTTGTAAACGGATATTTTCCAATCCGTGTATTGATAATTTGGCAGCCGGATAATGGTCTTCCCACCATGAAGTGCTTGCTCCACAAATATGAAGTGCTTGCTCCACAAATATGTAATGCTTGATCCACCATGAAGGGTGGACGTTTGGTCTTGCACTCCTTCTTGGCTGCTATATATATGAGCAGCAAATGTTGAAGAAAGATACTCAACTCAACATACAATTCGCTCAACAAATTGGCTATACATTGCACTCCTTCCTCTCAGAACTTCCATACGTTTTTCTGAGTATATACTCCTTCGTTCTGCATTGTTTTTTAACTTCAAACAAAGCAACTGTAAGTGTGATTTGCTACCGAACTTTGTGTTCGCCGAAACACTGGGGTTTGAAGTACCGCTACACCAGTGTGTTATTCGTTCTATCCTGGGAGGAAATAATCCATTACCTTGGGTACTAGGAGGGGATTAAATTCCTTAAGGAAACACTGTGAATTCAGTGGGCTCGAATTTATTATTATTGTTTCATTACGTTAACTTATATTTTGCAGAATTAATATTTACAAATACAGAAATATTGACGGGAATAACAGCTCTAACATTGGAGCGTCTCCTTAACCCACCTATTTCATGTAAAAATATCTTTAAAAAAATATTTCACAAAATTTTCTTATTCTCACGCTCTTATTCACCCGACCCACCACTCCACAAGAAAATGTTACAGAGAACTTAGTAAAAATGTGTATCCTATTTTATTCAATTAATTAAATTCTTCTGTCTCAATTTATGTATCATATTTTTTTTTTTACTCTGTCCCAAATATTTTTTTATTTAAAAACAATTTAACTTCAAATTTTTTACTTTGCCTTAGTTGAAATTTTTTAAAAGTCATTCTTTTCTTTCTTGTTCAATCAAATCGAGTATGAATTTTTAATTTTTTTTATACCATTGATTGATTTTGCTAATACCTACAGTCAAACGTGCCTAATTTTGTAAACCCCAAAAGTTAAGTAGTCAACTCCCATGCCTCACTCCAACGGTTAAGTGTAGTGATTCACGCTTTTAAACTCGCTATTTAAAATATATTTATATTTTATAATTTATTTTAAAATTAGCTAATTCATCCGAACTTCAGTACTAAGTAGTATAAATTTGAAAATTCAGGATTGAGCTGCTAATTTGAAATCTGAACTACTGATTTAAAATTCAGGACATAAGATTCGAACTTCTGGACATAATTTTTGAACTTTAAGACACGATGTCCTAAAGTTTTAACTTTGAGATTTAAAGTCTAGAATTCGTGTCCTGAAATTTGAGCAAAATTGACTAATCTTTAAATACATCTGGTATATTTTAAAGGAAAAAGGCTCAAAAATGACCTTGTGGTATTCGAAATGGATCAATTATAACCTCCGTTTAAACTTGAGTCCAAAAATGACCTTGCCGTTATAGAACAGGTCTAATAATGCCATTGTGTTATTCGAAATGGATCAATTATAACCCTCGTTTAAATTTGAGTCCACCAATGACCTTGCCATTAAAGAATGGGTCTAATACTGCTATTTCTCTCAGTTAGTAATGATTAGGGATGTAAAATGGATATTTAAAAACCGACAGAACCGTGCCGAACCAATTTTTAAGTTTCTTTTAATAAAACCGTAGGTTTTTATATAAATCTATAACCGTACCGATAATTAGGGTAAGTTTTTTATTTTATAAAAATAAACNACATGTAAATATATTCGAACCGTACCGAATAAATTTACATGTGAATATATGTTTCACATGTAAATATATCGGACCTATTATTAGACCCAGTATAAATATATGTTTTACATGTAAATTTATTCGGTACGGTTCGATATTTATATATTATGTTTAAAAATGATAATGGGTCTAATATTTATAAAGAATGGGTCGAATAAGTTTAAAATTTGAGCCCACTAATGACCATGCCGTTAAAGAATGAGTCTAATATTTATATTTATAAATAATAATGTATTAATATAAATAATGTACAAATTTTAATACATTATTATTTTTAACTTAATATATAAATATATGTTTCACATGTATATTTATTCGGTACGGTTTGATATTTTTTCGGTTTATTTTTATAAAATAAAAAACATACCCTAATTATCGGTACTGTTATAGATTTATATAAAAACCTACGGTTTATTAAAAGAAACCTAAAAATTGATTCGGCACGGTTCTGTCGGTTTTTAAATATTCATTTTATACCCCTAATCATTACTAACTGAGACAAATAGCAGTATTAGACTCATTCTTTAATGGCAGGATCATTGGTGGGCTCAAATTTAAACAGTGTTATAATTGATCCATTTCGAATAATACAAAGGCATCATTTTTTAACTGAAATTTAAAAAATAAGTTATAATTGATCCATTTCGAATACAACAACATCGTCATGGCATAATGGGGGGTCCATTAAATCCAACTCATTTTCCTTGTTCCTTCTCAGTTGTTACAAAGTCATAGGAACAGCAAACTTCCGCTATCCAGCTTTTTTCCTAGCTAGATTTTCACACTGCCAAAATTTTCTTCCCTTTACCTTTTCACACCTTCTGAAAGACTATGGCAGCAGAATCTTTTCTCTTCAACATTGCAAACTCAATCTTAGGAAAACTAGGATCACATGCACTTCAAGAATTTTACTTAATTTGGGGTGTTAAAAATGAGCTTAACAAACTAAAGAAAACCTTACTTACAATTAGAGATGTACTCTTGGATGCTGAAGAGCAACAAATCAAGAATCATGAGTTGACAAATTGGCTTGAGGAACTTAAAGATGTTCTTTATGATGCTGATGATTTTCTTGATGAAATTCAGACTTATGGTCAACAAAGGCAAAGGCTTAAATCCAAGGTTGGTTTTTTACTCTCACCTTTTAAACTGCTTCTTTTTAGATACAAAATGAGTCATAAGATAAAAGAACTAAGGGGGAGGTTAGATAGTATTGGAGCTGATAAAGCTAAATTTCACTTATCTGAGAAAACTATTGCCTTAGAAATGAAAAGGGATTTGACATATTCCTTTATACTTCCATCTGATGTTGTTGGAAGGAGGAATGAGATTGAAGAGATTGTTGAAGTTCTAATGCAAGAAAATGGTTTTGATGAGTGTCTCTCTGTGGTTTCAATTGTTGGAATTGGAGGTGTGGGGAAAACCACACTTGCTAAATTAGTGTACAGAGATGAGAGGGTAGTAAAGCACTTTCCTTTGAGAATTTGGTTATGTGCCTCGCAGGACATCGATGTCATAAAGTTGGCTAGGAACATTGTTAATTTGGCAAGTGGTGTATCGTGTGATAACTTTAATGTTGAACAAGTGCACTCTTCGCTTCAAGATGCTTTGTGTGCGAAGAGATTTTTACTCATCATTGATGATGTTTGGAGTCGGGACCGTTCAAAGTGGTTAGAATTGAGAAGTTTGTTGATGATTGGAGCGCGTGGAAGCAAGGTTGTTGTAACCACTCGTAGTGATTATATTGCCTCGATGATGGAATCTGTTGTTACATACAGCTTGAAAGAACTACCACATGAGGATTGCTTCTCTTTGTTTCTGAAATGGGCGTTTAGAAATGGACAAGAGAGACATTTTCCGAACCTAACTAAAATTGGAGAAGATATTGTAAAGAAATGCAAAGGAGTGCCTTTGGCAGTGAAGACTCTAGGTAGTATGTTATATGCGATAACTGATGAAAGGGAATGGTTAAAAGTGAGAGATGATGAGATATGGCAACTAAAGCAGGCTAATGATGATATCTTACCTGCACTAAGGTTAAGCTACAATCAGTTGCCATATTACTTGAAGCAATGCTTTGCTTACTGTTCAATATTTCCCAAGGGTCAAGAAATCGCGAGCATCATGCTGATTCAATTGTGGTTGGCGCAAGGGCTGATACATTCTTCTAATGAAAGCCAAGAGTTGGAAGATGTTGGTGTCCGCTACGTGAAAGAGTTGTGTTCGAGATCTCTTTTTGAAGAGGTTGAAGCATACGACTCATTCATAACGTTTAAAATGCATGATCTTGTGCATGACCTTGCAGTACTAGTTGCGCAAACCGATTGTTGTGTCATAAAAAACAATACTGATAGTATTACTGAGAAGGTTCGCCATGTAACGCTTTTCAGTTATAGTCCTGCAGAGAAAAGCGTTCCAGAAATTTTGTGCAAACAGAACAGAATTCGAACTGTTTTTGCTCCGTCTGAAGGATTTGAAAGGTATGCTGCTCTTTTGGTTGGTAAATGCATTTCAAGATTCAAGTACTTGCGTGTATTAGATTTACGCCATTCAAGGCTTGAGACGTTGCCAGATTCCATTGGAAACATGAAGCATCTAAGGTACATTGATTTTAGTGGCAACAACAACATCCAGATACTTCCTACTAACATTTGCAAGTTGCCGAATCTGCAAACTTTGCGGCTTGTTCTTTGCACGAAACTTCAGAAATTGCCAAGGGAGCTGGGAAATTTGGTCAGTCTAAGACATCTGTACTTGACAACCAAAGAGCAGAATTTGCCAGAGAAAGCATTGGGATCCTTGGCTCTTCTTCAATCCTTATCAATATTTGGATGTGAAAATCTTGTATCACTATTTGAAGGAATACAGAAGCTCACAAAACTAAGGACTCTAGTGATCGGTGATTGTCCGAGGTTGACTTCTTTGCCAAGGGGCATAGTTCTATTGTCAGCCTTAGAGAGCTTTATGATTGTCAATTGTGAAGCGCTTATGTTGTCCGACTGGCAAGATATTCAGGGCCTAAAGCGAATGCGGTCACTTGTGATCGGAGGACTTCCACATTTGGTGGATTTGCCCGAGTGGTTGAAAGGGGATTCTAATAGTCTAAAATTCATTCGCATCTCGACTTGTCCAAGCTTTGTTGCATTGCCTGCTTGGCTGGAGAATGTCACAGCCCTCGAGAAGCTTGAGATTACAGGATGTCCAAAATTGTCATCTCTGCCGGATTGCATGAGTTCTCTTACTACATTGAGGTTGCTGAAAATCCAGAAATGCCCTGGATTAACTAGAAGATGTGAAAAGGATACTGGAGAGGATTGGTCAAAGATAGCTCACATCCAAGAAATTCATCTTAATGATATCAGAATATACAGTGAGGTACAACTTTCTTTTATTCTTCCTTGATTCCTTTATCCTCCCATCCCATTAGAGCGCAAAAAACCCGAGCAAAAGGTCTTAAAATTGAAATTTGACCTTTATTCATGTATATACTTTATTGCTTAGTCTAGTACTCTTTATCTCTTTGTTGACTAGTATAGGTTCCAGAATCAAAGAATTTTCAATGCCCTTCGATGAATCTGTCATAATAGTCCCTTCGATGGGCTACAATTTTTTCCAAAAGATTTTTGTCCCTTCGATAGTCCCTTCAAAGTGAGCAAGCTCACACAGACGGGAGTTAAATTTTAGTTTGTTTAATCCAATATGTTATACTGATTTCTCTTTATTAAGAACTATCTCGAATGATAAAATGCACCACGGGGAATGACCCAAAATCGACCTTATGTTGGCCTGGTAACTTACTGGCTTCCTAGAGGATATCGAGGCTCGTTACTAGATGCTTCAAACAACATGATGAATTGCTTCTTGTAATAGTGATTTGAATGAACTACTACAGTTTTGAGTTTGAAGGTTACATGACTGAATATGAAATTCTTATGGTTAGTGGTTACATAGAGCCAAAATGCTTTCTGATTATCCCTCAAGCGCCCATTTTCCTTAATGATCTGTGCCTCTCTCTCTCACACTCACACACAAAATGGAAGAAAAAAAGTACACCTGAAGCCATATTCGCATATGAAACCAAGTTCTTGAATGTCTGTTAACGAGCTTTGTCTGTTATGCTGTGTTTTCTCTTGAGTTCATTTGCCACTTCCACATTTACATCTCAACCATGTGCATCTAAAGCAACTTTTACTAAGACCAATGTAGTTGTATGTAAACCAAGAGCAATATCATAACAACACCACCACCACCACCACCACCACCAACAACAACAACAACAACAAAAAAAAAACCTAGTGTGGTCCCATAGGTGGGGTATGGGGAGGGTAATGTGTACGCAGACCTTATCCCTACCTTATGAAGGTAGAGAGGTTGATTCCGATAGACCCTCAGCTCAAGAGAAACATATAAAGAAAAGAATCCACGTAAAGAGAAGCAGTAACGATAGTCAAAAAATAAAATAACCGAAGCAACACCAAGAGCAATAACATGATGAACCAAAAAGTCTCCAAGACCTATTGTTAAGAATAACGAATTACTATCTTGTCTGCATTAGCGACTGAACTATGCTGATTTCTCACATCATATATCAAATATTGAACCTATTACTAACAGGTTATTGATACATTTCCATAACGATGTTAGTCTTCTGACTCCAATGCAACCTAACTCATTAATTTTTGATGTAGGTGAGATGAATATGTCAAATTTATGATGGATGTCCCATATCACATGGGAGTTAAGAGATCACAACTTCAAGGAGTAAATAACCAATTGTTGTAGGTGAGATGAATGCATCCAATTTATGGTGGATGTCTCACAAACACATGGGAGTTTACAGATGACAGCTCCAGGACCTACTTAAAGACCATGTTCTCTTTTAGATGAAAAAAAACTATAGTAGAAATTTAATTACTTGTGTAAAACACTATGCATGAATTTCATGTTACCATTTTAGTCAATCTTAAACCTTCTCTCTCAACTTTGCTTGATAACATGTGAAATAGTTTGTTAACATTTTAGATAAATTTTAATTATACATCATTATTTTATACTGTGAAATATGTCCAGTATTGTGGTTGTCTCTTTTTTACTTTTCACTCCAAGATGTTGATTGGTTAGAAAGATACAAAATCCATCAAAGAACACATGCCTACGCGCACACACTCTCACTTTACGTGAAAAACTTACCAGCACACAATGTTAACAGTAAACGACACAATTTATTGGTTTGGTGTAAATATTAGGTGAGAATAAAAATTTTCTCCCGATCCGTCTTTTTCCTTTTTTCTATCCTTTCCATCGTATTCCTTCAAACTAATATTATCCGAGGCTCTATTCATAGAGAGGAATCAAATGAAATGAATAGCAAGACAAAAGGAATTTGGTGCTACAAAATGTTTAGGTGTTCAACAACAACAACAACCCAATATAATCCCACAAGTGGGGTCTGAACTCTGAAGAGGGTAGTGTTATGCAGATCTTACCCCTAACCTGGAGGTAGAGAGGTTGTTTCAGATAGACACTCGGTTCAAGAAGATGACAAGAGACAATAGAACAGTAACAACAATGAAGGCCAGAAAGATAGTACCAGCAGCCTAAGAACGTACAACAACCTGATTATAAGTTATTAATATCAAATACACTCCAGTCACGTAATAATGGATTTAAGTATCAATCAAAGCAGATACCGTACATATGGTACAACAAATTTACTCCAGGAAAATTATATTGATCTCTAAATATCAAAATTCATGTTTTATTCAAAAACTTATCTAAGTTTGAAAATCCTAAATATGAATGTAATTCAAGTAATGAAAGTTCAATAGTTGGAGTAGTGGAACTTAGAAATTATTTCTCTAAGTCAACATTCAATCAATAAAGGTCAACTAAGAAAGTAAATTTTCCAGCCATATCTGCAAATTATAAAGTTTTGTACTTCCTTTATTTCCTCTGCTGCAAACCAAGAACCAATTTTTCTCTATGTATCAGCTTAAAAAATCTGCAACTTTCCCTTCCATCAACATGGATATAAATGTTCTATCAGATATGCTTCTAATGAAACTGTATTCTGTTGTTGGCATTGCAAGGGCTTTGAATATGCATTCCCAACTCAGAAAACTGGATCTCTTTGTTAGAGATTCAGAACGTAACGATCGTTTTGGTCATCAGGTAGCTGAGATGCTAAAGCTCGCCTTTTACGATGCTGAACATGTGATTGAAGAGTATGAAATTTGGTCTCTTCAAAAGGTACATGGTTTTTTCTTCTGTAGATCAAACACTCTTGCCTACAGAATTCGAATGTGTCTTGAAATTCGAAAGCTGATTAAGAAACTGCATAAGATAGGTAAGTACAGAAAGTTTTCAATGATGGTGATTGGATTTGGGGGCTATCATAATCCTCACAGAACAAGAGTGCTTACGCATACACGTGCATGTTTGCATTACTCTGGTGTTGTGGGAAGGGACTTTGATAGAGATAATGTTGTTGAAATGCTTATAAAATCAGGAAATGAAACAACCCTTTTTGTATTTCCAGTTGTTGGAGTTGGAGGCGTTGGAAAAACTACTCTTGCTACATTGGTGTATAATGATCCAAGGGTAGTTAGTCATTTCCAATTGAGTGTGTGGGTTCGTGTGTCTCGCGTGTTTAAAGTAGAGAAATTATTGGAACAAATTGTGAATTCAGTTAGAGATGATTTATGCGAGAATCTTGATATGAATGAACTGCAGAATCTCGTTCGTGAGACTTTGTATGAAAAGAAATTGTTGCTTGTTTTAGATGATGTGTGGAATGAGGACCCAATGAAGTGGGATGAATTGAAGAAATTGTTGATGGTGGGTGCTTGTGGAAGCAAGATTCTTGTGACTACACGGAATGAGGCAGTAGCTTCAATAATGGGGACGGTTCCTGCATACTGTTTGAATGGTTTATTAAGTGAAGATTGTCTGACTTTGTTCTTGAGAAAGGCCTTTGAACAAGGTCAAGAAGTATTATATCCAAATCTCGTTGGGATAGCGTCAGATATAGTGCAGAAGTGTGAGGGAAATCCCTTACTCTTAATGATTTTAGGATCCTCGTAGCATATGGAAACTAAGGAATGGGAGTGGAATGAAGTTAAAAGTCATCAGATGTGGAACTCAAAGCAGAATGACAAAATTTTCACAGCATTAAAAGTGAGCTACGAGCGATTACCATCTAATCTCAAAGTTTGTCTTGCTTACTGCTCAATATTTCCCAAGAACTGTGTGATTGAAATAGATAAATTGATACAGTTGTGGATAGCAGAAGGTCTCATTAGTAAGTCTAATGAACCAGAAGATCTTGAGCTCATTGGGATTCAATATTTCCAAGAGTTATTGTCGAGATCCTTTTTTCAAGGCGTTGAAGAATATTGTTCTGTTTTTACCTCACTCTGTAAATTGCATGACCTTGTACATGATCTTGCACTGTCAGCAGCAGGGGTTGAATTCTGTACCGTAAATTCTCACACGCAAATCATTTCTGATGAGGCCAGGCATGTGGCATTTTCTGACTATGATTTGTCAGGCGCGGAACTGCCAGCATCCCTTCTCAATAACCAGACATTGAGAACCATATCCTTCTCTGTTGATGGAGTAGGGACGATGAGTTCAATGTTCGTTGAGAACTGCATTGCAAGATTCGTTCAACTTAGGGTGCTAGATATAAGCGATTCATGTTTTGATGAGCTGCCTCGCTCTGTTGGCGAATTGAAGTACTTAAGATATCTTGACATAAGTTCTAATGGCAGCATTAAAAAATTACCTGATTTGATTAACAAGTTGCTGAGCTTACAGACACTTCGAGTTTCTCATTGTGCACAACTTGAAGGATTACCTAAAGATATAGGAAATTTGATCAGCCTAAGACACTTGCATATAACCACCAAGCAAACATGCTTTCCTGATAAAGCAATTGGCTGCTTATCATCTCTTCATTCTTTGTATATTCATAGCTGCACGAATCTCGTATCTTTGTCTGAAGGCCTGCAATATCTGACTAGCCTTCGCACATTGGCAATTATAAGTTGCCCAAGACTGACCTTTTTCCCAAGTACGATGAAACACCTTACTGCTCTGGAGAATCTGTTGATCGTTGACTGTGAAGAGCTTACATTGTTGGAGTGGCAAGATATTGAAGGACTTAGGATGATCCGGTCACTGGTTATTGGAGGCTTACCCGAATTGGAGTCAAAAGATGTTCAATGCCTCGGGAGTCTTAAGATGTTAGTGCTTGCGGGGTTGCCACAGTTAGTTACTTTGCCGCGATGGCTTGAAGGTGCCAGTGCTACTCTACAGTACCTGAGAGTGGAAAGGTGTCCCAGTTTTTCAGCATTGCCAAAGTGGCTGGAAAATCTCACTGCACTTGAAAAACTTGAAATTTCCAAGTGCAGTAAATTATTTGCATTGCCCGAGGGGATGAGTTGCCTCACGAACCTGAAGGTACTGAGGATCGACAGCTGTCCGATCTTAAGTTCAGAATGAGAAGGCAGGATATCTCATATTTCTGAGGTTCGTACCAATGGGAAACTGATCCAATGATCCAACAATCTATATCTGTATATCATAGCCAGAGGTACTCTAAAATACATCTAGGCATGATGGGTACTAGTTTCATTCCAAATGTATTGGTAAAGATTATGCTATGTCCTAAAGAGATAACATCGTACTGGTTCCTCGTTGCTAACAGAGCCCGGTAGTCTGTATGTACAGACTATTATTTCATGCAGCCAACCACCTGGCTGGTTTAACTATCCAGCGTCCGTAGCCCATTGGGATCGACTAATCCAGATTGCTCGCGGTAGGCTATCTAACCAGACAAGTTCATCAGTACCATGACTCTAGTTTCATCTTTGATTTAATTTGCAAATAGGTATACTCCTTGAAAAAGCTCAAAGGATGAAAGTTGATGGTACCATCGGATTTGGACTTCTAGATGGAAACAAGAAAGGTATGTTGCTACTTTTATTGGATATATCATTCTTGTTCAGAATGAAAACTTAAAGAAACATAAAAATAACGGTAGATTTCACTACCCTTCTTCACACATGTGTTCACTTGATTGAGTATTACAAATTTGATCTTGAAAAGAGAAAAATCTATTCCTATTAAAACTTGTCTAGAAATTGACCTTTTCTGAGTATGCTCATTTCCTTCTGCTTATCTACGGACACGAACAAGACTAACATCATCGATGACAGGTCCACACATGTGACCGAAGTCATGTATCTTCGTGTGATAATATGGATTATAGAAAGCTATTGTTGTTCTACTTGTATCCGCCTGGAACTTGAAGCTTGCTTTCTTGAACCATCCTTTTCCACTTGATACAAAGGAAACTTCTGTACTGGCCTTGCCAGCAAATGCTTGAACTGTCATTGATCCGTGGCAGTCATTGTTGGCATCGCCAATGGTGAAAGTCAAGTTGTAGAATTGTTTGGGGACTGTCCTTACGATCTGTGCAATGCCTGTTTCCCTTCCTCCTATTAATTCAACAGCTCCACTTCCTGAAGGCACTAAGAAATGCTTCGAGTCGATGTATTTTGCTGGTTTTGCAAACTGAACCATCCATCCGGGAATTGGTGAGTACTTGTCTTGTTTCACAGGGAGGACGAGCACCCCTGTCGAGAAGTTCTTGAATACATGAGGACCATTTTCAAATCCACCATTTTTCACCAAGTTACCTGCATACATTGTCCAAGAAAAAGGTATTGCATCAGAATCTAATTTTATATGCACCATTCTACTAAGCTGAGAATTTCACAATGTAGTAGGTGCATTTGCACAAATGGCCTTTTTTGAGGCCATTGTTTAAATTCCGTCGCAGTTTATAGGACTATGGTCGTAACCATTGGTTTGGCCGATTAGACAGTCTCCCTTAGTGGTGAGACGTATCATCCAACTACTTTTAAAGATGAAATTTAGCCTCTGGACAAACGGGGAGAGATTTTAAAAAAGGGC